GCCACTTTCGGACTAGTTCTGGCTCGCGGTCGTCGAGAATGTTGGGTTGGAGATCTGTTGGTGTCCAGCCCAGCTTCTTCATTTTCTTGTAGTACTTGTCGCTCCAGTGGATGATACTGAGTAAATTATCAGCCGGGAGCTCGGGGTCGTCGATCATGCTAAGCAAGAAGTCATGCATCATCTGATGATAGATATCGGTGTATGTTTTGAATATCTTCCATTTCTTCGGGACAAGGCTCTGCATGCCTTGCTTGACCGTGAATAGATCATTGAAGTACCACCGGAACTTCTTTTCCAGATTGTCTGGGTCTCCAAGAAAGTTTTCGAGGGTCTCTTTGAATTGGCTTTGGGCGTAAAGCTCGATAGCCTGGATGAATTTGTCCTTGTAGCCCCGCACAGTCTTGGGGCCAATGTTCATGGACTTGAAACGACTTGCGAGGTCCTTGTGGTCTTTCTGGGCCTCTTGCAACGCTCGAACTGTATCATCATTTTTCTCCTCGTTCAAGACAACAACAGCAAGTCGCACGACCATACTCTTGTTGTCTGCCTGCACCAATGGAATGAGGTTCATGCAAGCCGTGCCAAGGTGATCATCGAACCACTCAATAACAGAATCCAACCCCTCAAAGTACTCTGTCAGAGTCTCTTCGGAGCTCTGATCCTCCGCCTTGCGAATCTGATCCATAGCCTCATCACGGAAATCCCTTAACCGTGATATCTGCATATGAGCCCGCAGAATATTAGGCTGATTCTCCATATCGTCATCATCCTCTCTGAGCAAATCCTCCACTTCCTGGATATCCGCGCCGAAATTCTCCAGTCCTCGTTTCATCATGAGCGTAGCATCGAAATGTCTTTGAATCCGCGCAAGTTGGTCAATCTGCGCAAAGTCCTCCACGCTATGCTGCGACTCGGCGCATAGCTTGTCGATGCCTTGTAGCTCGTCTTTTGTCTTCGAGACTTGTCGCTGGCCCTCAGTCAAAGCACCAATGCTGCGTTGTACGGCCTCCAGCTGGTCTCGCAGACCTTCACGCAACCGGGAATCAACTGCCGTCTTCTTCCGCAGGTATTCCGCTTTAAGCCCGCTGATCTTGTCTAGATCCTCCGGGTGCCGTAGGAGGTCTTCGAGTCGCGGCAGAGCGACCGTGGCATCAATGTTACTGGCTTGCGTCATAGCCACGGTATCAAGTATATGGTGGTGTCGTTGTTCCGGGTTGCTCGAAGCTAGGTCGAGGGGTGAGGTGTCAACAATGCGGGCATGGGGCTTTGCTTGCGAGAAGGTAGCACGCAGCAGTGCACTATGATATAAATCCAGGTACTATCACGCCGGAAAGAGCGCAGCCCATAGTCTCTCGTTTCAAAATATGAAATACTATATCAGCTATCACAGGCCGGTAGTCGTCGCTGCTGTCATCGGATTCTGGCATAATAGGCACGTGACTTACCGCCTTAGAATTGGATTTGCGGGATCGCGGCCATCTCCATGTCGGCAACATTTCTTCGCCAGATCACAGGGTCGATTGCGCAGCAGATATCGGCTGCAAATTCTCATCCAAGACTCCGGTATCATACTAGATCCACTTCATTCCGTTCCACCTATTCCGAATCTGATTCCACGACTCCGGACAACCAAACCAACCTATCGAAAGCACAAACATCAGATCCTCTTGATCTCCACAATCCAACATGTCCTACTTCCGTATCACCCTCATGCGCTCCGCAATTGGACTCCCGCGCCGCTCAACAGATGTCCTCAAGGCGCTTGGCTTGAAAAAGCGTATGGCAACAGTCTTCCACAGCGTCTCGCCCTCCGTCGCGGGTCAAATCATGAAAGTCAAGGAACTTGTCCATGTCGAGGAATGCCAGTACCGCCTCACGAAGCAGGAGGTGCATCTCGAGCGCAAGCCTGATCCTGGATATTATACCGAAAAGAGCTGCTCTGAGCAGCGGAAGGAGCTCGGTGGTCAGTGATTGTTTTCATGAGCTTCGTGTGGAATGGGCTGCTTTTCAGACTGGGATTTTCACCGGTCTTGAAGATTGCGATGGAAGATCCGACTCTTTTGAAATCCCTTTCGCTCTGGCGCATGATTGATCGATCACGTCCTCTTTTTTTGCTGTTTTGGCTTTGCTTGCATGGAGCGGGTTGCTTTTTTGTTCGTTTCTTTTGTTCATGTACTCTACGTCCACATCTATTGGGCGAATGTTATATCTGCTAGGCATCCGACCGCCTAAAACATTTACACTTCGTAAGTTAATCTACTACGAGGAGATTATTGTATTATATGCATAGTGGAATCCAACACTTCAAACAAATATGTGCAATTTGAAAGGACCTGGATAATGATAACGCCACTGCACCAGTAGTTTAGGTAAGGACAGCTAGGGGAAACCAAGATTATACACTGGGAACAGTCCGGATAGGCTGAGCGAAGAAAATACGAACAAGGAAAACCGAGTTGTTCACCTAGGCTTTGTACAGGGTGTCCAAGAAGCCTTCTGCCAGACGGCTGACGATACTCTTATCAGGAATGCTGCCAGCGACACCGTATAGAGCAGAGGTATCACCACGATTGAGGATATATGATTTGCCCTCGCGCTTGCGCTGCTCGGCCTTCTCAAGTTCCTTGCCAATGACTTCACGCAGATCAGCAATGAGCTGGTCGACAGCCTTGGCAGTTGGAATAGTGAAGGCACAGTGAATAGCCGGGGGAGATTGCAGAGCGTTGAGATGCCAGCCTTTAGCAGACAGGTCATCGGCGATGTCGTAAATGTCAATGGCACCGTTCTTGCTGCGGAAGGCGACCACACTGACGATGGGGTCACCGAGGATCTCCATGTGCAGTGAGATGGTTGGATCGGTCCGAACGGCCGTCTCGAACTTCCGTGCCGCGTTGATGATATCGGTGCAGCTGTTGATGTATCCGTTCTCGCCGACGCTCATCAGACTGGCCCAACAACCGGCGATCAGAGCGCCAGGGCGGGAGCCCGCCACGGAGGGAGAAGCATAAACACCGCCGGACCAATCGGGGTAGATGAAGTACTGGTTGTTTCGGTATGATTTGTTGCGGTAGATCAAGACCGAGTTGCCCTTGGGCGCGAACCCGTACTTGTGGGTGTCAACACTGATGCTAGTCACACCTGGTTGGCGGAAGTCAAAGCCACCTTCTTCCTCGTAGGGCGAGGGGAATCCGGCCTTCTTGAGGTATGCAACGACGAAAGATCCCAAGCAGCAGTCAACGTGGAGAGGGATCTTGTACTTGGTAGCCAGACGCGATAGAGCTGGGATATCATCGACAATGCCGTGGGGGAAGTTAGGTGCCGATCCGACAAGAAGGACGGTATTGGGATTGATTAAACGGCGAACAGCATGCACGTCGACCTTGAACTCGGGCTCCGGGCAAGGGACTCGGTGCAGCTTGATCTTGAAGTAGTTGCATGCCTTGATAAATGCCGCGTGTGCTGTATCGGGAATAATCCTACGATGATCGATCAGTCCTGCTGGTCAATGGTATAGTATCCCCATGCCAACTTACATCTCGGGCTCAGTAACACCGCGCTCCAAAAAAGCCTTTTGCCGGGCGGCCAAGCAAGCCATAAGAATAGACTCCGTGCCACCGCTAGTGGTTACACCGGCACCATCCAAGGGGGCATTGAAGAGAGCAAGAACCTAGAGCAGACATCAGCCGAAAGGCTCCACCAAATACCGTACTCTCGATATAGAATGTCATGCATACCATAGCAACCACCTCAGCCTCCATCTTCCGAACACCAGGGAAAACATCCGGATGAATCGGATTCGCGACACCGAACTGCCCGAATGCTTCAGCCTGGAGTTTCAACAGCTCCGCGCCTCCATGATAAACGGCACCGCTAACGCGACCATCTTCCCAGCGTGTATGTTCAAGCCCAGCCAACTTATCAAGTTCAGCGCGGACCTGCTCTGGCGACCAACCCTCCTTGGGCAGGGTAAGATACCGTGTGACATCCGGCCCAGAGTTTACCAGTTTCGACTCGAGTTTCGTGATAGCAGTGCTCACTTGCTTGTCGACCTGCCCGCTGACACCAGGGACACGCAGGAAGAGGCCATAGCAGAACAGGCGGAGCGAGATGTAGATGTTGCGGATGCTGCCGAAGATGCCGTAGCCGCGGATGGAGTAGAAGGTCTTGCGCGTATACCGAAGGATGAACAGGATAAATACGATGTTGCGAATACTGGGTCGAGAGCAAAATGTGTCAGTGGTGATTGCGTTTATGTCTTTCGTTCCTTGATTCCGCGGGGAACGGGGGATTATTCAACTTACAGGTCGATATTCAAGGCAGAGAGGTGCGCGCTGGACACCCGGCCGTAGCCGACCAGCTTGTTCTGCAGAGCGACTGGCAGCATAGAAGAGCTCATTGTTCCCCTATGAATAGTCCTGCAATAATGATGGGTGGGAGTGGCGATAGGGAGGTTCCGAATAGTACGTTAGTACGTTTTAACTGGTTGAGTCTAGCGGGCCTCGGCTGCCACATGAAGTAGGCACTCAACATTTTGCATACAATGACGAGACATTTGGATATTATAGAGGTTGAGTATTGATAGACATGAAATTATAGCTATTCACTCGGTATTATAATAATATCTTTATATCTTTACAAGTTAGAGTGACCCTTCACATCAAGTCCTGGTCTTTCTCCACTGACGTAATTTGAACTAGTACGGAGTACGATGTAACTAACTAAATGCAAACAGTCTCAAGTTCGGAATAAGTTACTGCCTCTTCTGCGCTAAATGTACAAAGAAAGGAGAACTCTCTCCTCCTAACACAAATGTGTTTTTGGGTCCCCCAAAAGAAAAGAAAGAAGAAAAAAACAGCAAGACTTTTCAGACCCTTATATGGAAAAAATGTCAAAACAAATGAAAAAGCATCAAATCATCAGGTATCCCGCCACGCCCGAATTTTGCCCAGGCCACTGTCAGGTGGCATGATACAATATATGTATTGGTCAAAGGAAATCGCCTATACCGCAAGACCGGCAGCCTGAGCCGCAAGGAGCTCCTTCTCCTTGGCGGCGAATGCGGCCTGCTCCTCGGCGCTCAGGTCAAGAAGGGGCTTGTTCTCGCCGGACTTCAAGTTACGGTGGTAGGCGCGGATAATGCTGTCGGCATCATCGACGGCAATAGGACGGATATCAGCCATAGCCTTAATCTTGGCAGTGCACTCCTTGTATTGAGCGTCAGTCATCTCAAGCTTGAGCTGCTGGGCACGCGACTTGATGGCGTTCCATCCGGTCAAACGGGAGGCGAAGTGGACGTAGCGGGTCATGCCGAAGTCGGCAGGGTTGATAATCTCGTAGGTGCTGGGGTTGTTGAGGATAGCCTTGGCGTGGATACCAGCCTTGTGGGTGAAGGCGCAGAAACCGGTGATGTAGTTGTTGAAAGGAATGTTGACCTCAACGGCCTCGGCGACGAGGTCCTCAATCTCCTTGAGCTTCTCAAGCTTGTACTTGCCCTTGACGTAGTCGCGGTCGGCGACCATCATGCGGGCCATCAGGCCACCGAGAGGGGTGATACCGTTACGCTCGCCGATACCGAGAACCGAGGTATCAATGTGAGTGGCACCGGCCTCGAGGGCACAGAAGGCATTGGCAATGGCACAGCCAGTGTCATTGTGGAAGTGAGTCTCGATGTCACAGCCAACAACACCGCGCAGAACACGGACGAGCTCGTAAACCTGGCGGGGGAAGCGCAGCCAACGGTGTCGGCAATACCAACACGGTTCACACCAACCTTGTCCACGGCGGAGTAGATTGACAGAAGGTCAACCAGGTCGGAACGGAAAGAGTCCTCACTGGAGAAGCGGATCTCAATGCCCTTAGACTTGACGAACTCGATAACTTCAATGGCGGCGTTCTTGATGTAGGTCATGTCCTTGCCGTGAGAGTGCTCACGGAGGTAAGAGGAAGTACCGATAACAACATCACTACGGAAAGTCAGTTCGGAGTCACCAAAATAGGACAAGATGACACAACTCACACTCCATCAACACCGGTCTCAACAGCAATACGGGCATCGTCCATGTGGCAGCGAATGTGAGTGAGAATCTGAAGATGTCATTAGATACCAATAGTCACGAGACCAGAGCAGAACCCTAACATACCTTAGCCTTCAGGCCAAGCTTGCAAATGGCCTCGCAATCCGCACGGGACTGCTCAGAAGCGCAGGGACTTGTGAGTTCAATCTATAAAGCGATTTTCGTTAACCTCAGTTCAGGGATATAAAGTCTTCGTCTGTCCCGCGACTCACGTAGTCCACACCGAAGTCATCGAGAGCCTTGGCAATCTCGATCTTCTTGGCGGTATCGAAGAAGGCGTTGGCGAACTGCTCTCCCTCACGCAAAGTAGACTCAATAATCTTGAAGCGTGAGACATTGCTAAGGAAATCGGTGACGCCAGCGTCGTGACCGTAGGGGTTGCGGGATGAGGAGGGGTGTGGGTTTTGGCGAGTCTCAATGCCAACAAAACCAGTGTGATCGCCATCTAAATAGAGGTCAGTGGGCAATTCTGGTATATTAGCTTTCAATTGGCATACCAGGAGCAATGACGCCAGGAGCACCATTGTCTTGCCCATTGGGCTCGGAGTCGGCACCAGTACACATGGTGCAGATGGTGGGAGTTGAGTATGTAGGGTCGAGACTGGAAAATATGAAGCCGGGAGGTTCGGGATAATTGAGTAATTTAGAATGAAGATTGAGATAGAAAAATTGAGCGGTATTTAAGATCTTTGTAGTAAGAAATCTTAGAAAAAAGGGAATGAAGAGTCATAAATTCATAGCGCCGAAGTGGTGGGCGGTGAATCTGCGTAATGGGGGGCACCCCCCTCGCTCTCGGGCGGCAAAAAAGAAAATTTTGATTGTGGAGAGGTGGGGGAAGTACATTTTGGAGGAGTATGATAGGATCAGACGGCCTAGCATGGTCTACGACCTGGTATGTACGATATATTGCACTATGACTCAACTGTCTATCACTTCCAATTCCTCGCTTCACCGAAATCTGTGATTGAAACAGTATGTGGGATGCAGTTTACTTCAATGCCTCTGTGAGGGCCTGATGCTACAAGGAGGGATTACTAAGCATGACTAAGCAGGGTGGTTAACTATCTTACATAGCCATTCCATACGACCGACAGCTGGTCGAATGTTAGAATGGGACCGCTAATTTTTAGCGCCTCTTGGCCCAGAGGAACATGTATTAATCCGAATTCCGAGAGCTCGGCGAATGTCAGATATCAGCGAATGTCGGGATTCTTTTAGGGGTTATAATACCCTAGTACAGAAGAAGATAGGATTTAGTGGTAAAGATAATACTGTAAATAATGATCACGGGGTCTTCATGAACGTCTATTATAAGCTATGAAGACATCCTAGTGTAAAGAGAGATCTCGACATTCGCTAAGACCCCGCAAAACGACGACTATGTCAAGCAGAGGCAGCAGATGCGAAACGTGTCCGTGTTTCGTGAGAATAGAATGCTCCTTCTATCTTTCAAATTAGTTATCTCATTCTTGATACCCATATTGTCGTTATCATTTATAATTTTGGAGGTGACTTACGCTCCTTCTACATGTTCTTCGACATCACCGAATGATTATGCGTGCCTGGTTGAGGCCTTTTACGAATGATATATCATTATGAAATCATTGCAAACGTTCATTAAAATTCAGTACTAAGGCTGTCGTGTACAGACTAGGCTTTTTTGTGATGCCATGGATCATGTGAAAACGTGGATTCAACTATAAAGCTTCAGAGCTGATATTATGGACCGTCGTGTACTAAGAAAATATCGCAATAAGAACCGAACCGCTCGACATCGGCGAGGAGCGAAGTTGTCTACATGAGTTCCCAGGTATACTGCTAGATATACATTCCCTGCCTGCCGAACTCCTTCGAAAATTTTTGACGCGATTCTGCGGCTAACTCTAGGTATTTGTAACTCACTTGGCTGGTATTCGCTTCGGCGAGAGCATGTGCAATTGCTGCGATGTTCTTGATCTAGTCCATGCCAGTCAGCAAGCGAGAAGTGCACAGCAGCGCTCTGAAACCCACCTCTCTTCCGTTGAGATCTAAAGACTCCAATCGTCGGAGTTCGTGCTCCTCGATCATGGCAGGTCCTTGCACTGTACGTGCCCTAGTCAGAAAAGTGGACCAGAGACCCCTGCGAAAATCCCTGCTCAAGCCTTTATACTTAATGATCAAATGGATCCGACTGAGGATTGCATCGTCAAAATGAATACCCCGATTCGAAGTCAAGAAAAGGATTCCTTGGTAGTATTCCAGCTTTCGGAGAAAAACGGTCACCAGGCGGTTATGAGTATCGTGGTAAGATGTACGCTGCTCCATGAAGGCATCTGCCTTATCCAAGAGGAGCACAGCTTTGAAGTGTTTAGCAATCTTGAATATAGTTTCAAGTTGTTGCTCAAGCGCATTGGAATCTCCGTGGTCGACAATAAGCTCGCCTGCGGATATCTGAGGAAGTTAGCGAGGCCACATTCAGCGCTATAATTAGCTCGTACCGAGTAGAGAGGCAGCTTGAAATATTCCGAGGTTGCTTTAACCGTAAATGTCTTTCCGACGCCGGGTGGGCCACTAGGACGGGTTAGGACGGACGCGTCAATATAGTGCATAATCAATTTGCCGACATACTCCAGAAGGATGTTGAGTCCTTGACCTTTTCCGTCAATTACGTCGTCGAAGGGTACTGTCGGTATCAGACCCAAGCGGGTCTTTGCCATGGATAAGATGAGTGTCTTGTTCTCTGGCGGAAAAGAGGTGCGAAGACTCAATATGCCCCTCATCCCTATCCAGACATAGTATAAATGTGCACTCCATGAGGGTGATCAGGGCTGCTTGCGTTACAGGTGCATCGACATCCGCGAGTCCAAATTGGCTCAGCAAAGAACCAAGCAGTGTCCACAGCGGTGAAATCTTTTGGCCACTGGTTTCAGGTCCAATTAGCTGCTGCCTCGTTCGAGTAGGTTAAACAATCACTCACATCACTTGGTTTCAGATTCATGTTAGCTCTGCCATAAGTGATCTCACAGAGGCCATTAAAATCATCTCCTAGGTATCGGCAAAGACCGAATGATTCGGTAGCTTTATGCTCATAAAGCAGTTCCTTAAAGCGCTCTATAAAGCAGAGCTCATCTTTTCCAATGATAAATTCTTCTCCTTCAGAGTAGAAGAACTCCGTTGGCTTGAAATCACCCTCAGAGGAGACGGACCATATGGCAGGCTGGGGGGTTTTATTCCGGAGATATAACCCGCGCTCCAAGGTACAGATGTGCCATCGTAGTCCACGAGCATCTCGCCAGGCTCAAGATTAAAATGACAATGAAGCATAGCTAAGCCAAACTTGCGATCCATTCCTTGTTCCGTGAAGAAATTTTTGAATAATTCTTTCACCAGTCCATCGCCATTCAACTTGGTAAATTTAGCACATACAATCTCTAGGGAAGGGAGGCCCTGGAAATGCTCAATAGAGTATTTGCCAACAGTTATGGTAAAGAGTAGTATTGCTCCAGTAATAATGGATTTGATTTAAATACAACTCAAAATAATGTAGATTGCCCTGGAAAAAACACGTCTGATTTTGCGAGGACATAGCTGCTATTTATGTGAAATGCCTCGCACTGTATCGTATCCTCTCTCCGAGCTGTAGAACTTTCGGGTCCGCGTGGTCTCGGCGTGTAGTTGCCTGATGGCCAAACTCCAAATAATCCAAGAAGATGGTCAGTCTCCTTGCGGATCAAATAATCCGTATAGAGCCAATAGTGTTGTTCATCTGTCAGCTGTGGTAGAGATAGAAGGCGGCTGCATACAGGTTTAGACCACTTACAAATTCCCTCTATCTTTCCCTCCATCCTTCCCTCCATCCGCATATCGAGAGCCAATAGTCTTGTTCATCTGTCAGCTGTGGTGGGGATAGAAGGCGGCTGCATGCAGGTTTAGACCACTTAAAAAATCACCTTCATTTTCCCTCCATTTCCCTCCATCTCTCCCTCCATCTATCCCTCCATCTTTCCCTCCATCTCTCCTTCTATATTTTCCTCCAGTCAACTATCTAGTACTAGCTGAATATTCATCTTTCCAACTAAAGATAGCAGCTCTTTAGTTACACAACCCCGGAACGGAAAATATTTGCTACCACAGGTATTTAACTCGAATTTGATTTCTGTGGTTAAGCAGTGGGATGTTTCTCATATATTCGAAAGCATTCCTATATTAGCGCAATTTTCACTCTGGCCGAATTTTCATTATGACCTGCCTACCGTTCTCGCTTATCCTAAGATAGATACATTCTTGGTTTTCCTGGGACGATGAAGATGATTATTTGTAGAGTGGGACTGACCCATACGAATATTCAGAACAATTTCATGATACTGCTACTCTATACAGGCCGACTGAAGATGCCGAATATGAATCTAGTACCCAATCGGCACTATTAAGTGAAACTTCAAATGTGAAAGATAAGGAAGCTGGTATCTATTCTAGTGAATCCAAAATCATTTCTAGTGAACATTCTTCATTGATTCAACTAACAGTATACAAGCAATACTTGATAAAACACCACTATAACACAAACAATGAGATTCTTGTGCTTCCTCAAATACCTCCACATATTCACATATATACTAGAGGTGCGGTCGTTAACTGGAAGAAGGGAGCATCTCTTTCCACAACGGCAAACGTTTCTTCTAAAAAAACGGAGACCGAAAAAAGTGAAACTCCAGTCACCCGATTCAAAGCTGAAAGGGAGCTGGGACTCCAGGCTCATATAATCACATATCATTAAATGCTCCCCCATCTCCAGAAACCTGGTAAACTTTGGAATGTTCTCAAATCCGTAGATCTCAGTCAATGCATGATATATCATCCACCAATATGGGCTGGTGCGGAGTGTCCACCTCCTGTGATTCAAGCACCCCCACCAGCGGTCGGGCAGGAAGGGGCTGCCGCTCGGATTTGTGGAAACGAACTTTCGAATTTGAGGCCGTGAAGTTGGACTCGGAAGATTATTTTTTTATTTTTTAATTGCTTTTTTCTATTCTATTTTCTCAATACAGATGTACAGTATGGACTTCTTGAGTTTACGATGAAGAAGATTCACACGCACGATGCACTGCTTCCAGAACTTCATCAGCAGACTGACGGCATTTTTCCATGTCCTCCGCTAAGATGACCGCTGTTTCTTGAGTGTTGTGCTCCAGTATACCTGTATAGAGCCTCGGCTTCTTCCAGGGAACTTCTGACCGAATCGCTTGATCACTTCCGACCAGGCAAGGGATTCTTCCTCCCTAAGCTCCACCAAAAGGCGATTCTCTTCCGCGGACCAAGGTAGTCCTTTTCTTGAGGAACAGGTATGTTTTGCATGGAGTTGGATATCGACAGATATCGAGTGAATCTCGCAAAGGCTGTACTTTGTCTTGGAAAGGGTTCTACGGCCGGAAAGATTCCAATCGAAAGCTATCGACTGGCATATTGTTCGAGAAAAAAAGCAGCTGATCGAGTTCACGGGATATGGGGAATGAGGCCACTCGTAGATAGAGAAACCCAAACGGGGACTTCGGGGAGGGGGCAGGGGCAAGTGGGCAGTGGGAATGGGCAGGATGGGAGAACTTGGGATGGCTGCGTTGCAGTTTGTCATTCAGGTGGAATTGTAGCCTCTTTTATAGGACGCGAGGCGCGATCTGCTTTCTTCACCGCTCAGATGATACAGATCGGCTCCTGCAACCTATGCCGCTCCGTCCAAAAGTTGCGAGACCACGGTATTCTCGCATCCGCCAGGCTTGAAATACCATCAATCTCAACAATGGCCCCCAACCAATGATCTTTTCCACAGTCGTCGCCCGCTCTGTCCTCCAATCGCCAGACTGCGTGGTTGTGGGGTCTTACCCTAGCTTGACCAGGAGTTCACCTCACTGATGATACGGCATTTTCGCTTTTGGCTCGCATTACGGTTGCATGCTGCCAAGACTCATCGATTAGGCGAGGATGGACCGGAGAAGCCGACGATGACGACAACTACGGGGTCGAGACGGTTGGGAGCAAGCGGCCGAGAGGAGATCTGCGACGCCAAGGGCTATGCAATGTAACCTCTGATGGGGCTTCAAGGGGGCGGACGAAGTGGAGTACGAAGCGTCGAGGAGGGCACGAGGGCAACCCGGGGGACTTCGCAATAAGCTAAGTCGGCAGAGTCACAGAGCGCTTTTCATGGGAAGGCCCCGCTGGCAAAAGGTGACCGAGATTCGTAGCAAGATCCAAGGTAAATGAATTGGAGGAGAGAGAGACACGCAATCAGATGAGGGCGACCATGCGATGTCAAGCACACACAATACGGCGGAAGACTGAATCAGGACTCACGTCGGTTTTTCTTCCCTTGGGGCGGCCGGACAGCGCGGCAGCTCCGACGAAATGAAAGGGGCAGTGCATCAGGCTGAAGGACCATGCGCAGAAGCGGCGGGGCCGGCGAAGAAAGAGATCAGGAAGCCAGGCGGGGTGTCGTAGAGGATGAAGTGCGTCGACGAGTCGATGGGAGGGCGAGCGGTCCTTTATAGATGGATGGTCGGTGACGGGGGCGGTAAAAGCGGCCAGAGATGGCACTAAACCCGAAGCGGGTGCGGGGCGGGACGCCATTCCCGAACGGGCAGGGGGACGACAGTGGCGGGCAGGCGTTCTCCAAAGTCATAAAATACATATTCGGAGTTCGGACTCTTCCACGGGAGGTTAGGCGATATTTTCCATGGGAAGAAAAGGTTGTGGAATTCAAATGGCCATTATGACCCAGTATATTATCTGCGAATTCAACATTTGAAAGGATAAAGAATTCAAGGCGCTAATCCCTCAAGCACTTGCTTGGGCTGTACTGAATAATCCAATTCTCGGGGGATTGTTCCTCATGACTTTCAATTCGAATGTCTTCTTCCATGTTTCAGATGAGAAGAAGACTTCCCAGTTTCAACAGGATATGCTACCCTGGCAGAATTTCTCGAGTCAGTAGGCAGTCCACTCGTCGTCGATGCCGATTCCGACGTGGTGGCCAGCAAAGGCATATCAATTTTCGCATCATCCTGCTCATCGTATGGGATTCCCAACGCCTCGCGCTCCTTTACACAGTTGTCCGATTCGCATTTCAATAGCCCCAGCTCATAGAGTTCCTCGGGTGTCACACGACGAGACGAATTTCCTTCATCGAGTATGATGTCCTCCGGGTTGAAATCAAAGGAAATCGGTTCATCAATACCATAGCCCAATGAACGCTTTGCTGGCTTCTGCCGTGGTGGTTTTAGCCCTTGTGTCAACGCTGCTTCGGGGTCCATTGCATACGCAGCGGAGTCATGACCTTGAAGATAGTTGACGCCATACCAACGATCATTCGTCATAAGAGCAAACCTATAATCATGCGTAATTTCAGGAAGGCATGGATTGTCGGCAAGAAGGTCGTCGTTTGGCATGTTCGTAAAATGCATCACCATCGCGTTGACTGTGTAGACAGTCGACTTGATCTCAGTACAGGTACTGCTTGTAATAGGTCCGCCTTCTAGCTTGGTCTCTTTTTTATAATCTTTGCAAATATTTTTCCAGAGCTGACCAGCGCCTTTGTTCTGGCTTTCCGGCAGGAAACGCAGCCATTGGGTGTACGTGGTTCCGGTAGACTCCATGAATGCAAAAGGCGGATACTCGTCTCGGTTGCATTTGTCCACACCCAGGCTCTTGGCGAACGGGGGTACCCAGAGCAACCAGGATTTTAAATGCTCCTTATCCCATACAGCAGGAAGCTTCCTATTAGACATCTTGTCTACAGGACATCGCAGCGTAGAATAGCGGTTCCAGTAGCTCACAGAACTATAGTGAGCGCATGCTTGGGGGTATTTGTCTCCGTCACAAGTAACAGTACTCGGGGACGAAGTAACCGAGGTGACGGTGGTGTGAATCGTAACGGTTTCTGTACATGGCCTCGCTACTGCAGCTGCCGGATATGCTCTGTTGCTCTGAGGTGTGAAGAGGCCACTTGAGGACCACTGCCCAGGTATGCTATTCATAATATATCCGGCGCCAAGGACAAATAATGTGAAAGCTGCCAGGGGAAAGAGGCACTCTGTGAGTGTCGACAAGCTTGAATCATCTTTATAAAGTTGGACAGATGTTGCATCTTTCCGAATGATACCCTGACCACCAGTAAATATACTATTGGCATTGCTTTGCGGGCAATCATCAATGATGTTGGTGGTAATAGATTCGCAGCAGTAGCTTGAGAAATGCCCGGATTTGCACCCGGATTTGGCGCCTCCCACATGGGTGTTTTGGGCCAACAAGATTGTTCCAGATGGGCACGTTTGAGAACATCCACCTGGCTTGCCATACCACTTGCAATTGACCCCTGTAACATCTGCTTCAACGCATAGGGCACGATTGTAGCCATTCCCACCGCCATGACATCCATCGGCGGTGTATATTCCTTTATCAGCATCATAGACCTTTCCATGACCTAGTGTCCACTGTGAATACCCCGCATTGCATTGAGGGGCCGCAGAGCAGGCTGTCCAGTAAGAGTAGAGGTTGACACTGTTCTGAGAGCTGATTGCCGAGAGCTTGTCAAGGGCATATGAGGGATTTGACGAGACGTCGTCGCCAAGTAACTTCAATCCGCTCGTGCTTAGGTCAACCAATGCCTCCTTGGAGGTCGCATTGTCCAGGTCAACCGACCACACAAAGCGTCCTCCCAAGCATTTTGAATTTGCAAATGTCCGTTTCAGATCAAGTGTTTCAGCGTCATCGTAGGAAACCCTATATTCATCAATTAGACCTGCTACAATGAGTTCGTCTCTGAATGATCTTACCATTGATTATCATCCCAAACGATGTATTTCACAGCCGCTGTTTCTTCCAAAATTGGGGTCAGATTATTCTCTGAGATGACATTCTGAATTTCAGCATCAGAAAGAATGCCTGCTGTGTCCGTGCATTCTCCTGGAGTTCCACCACCACTGAATGGACATCCTGGGGAGGTGCAGGAAGACTCCGAAAGTGTAAAAGAGCGGCCATAGAAGGCTTCCCCAAGCACAATAATCTTAACAATGATCTTAACTGCTTGACCCTCATTAATCGGACGATTTGTGCGCCCCTTTCGTGCCCCATCACTGTGATTGATGTCAATGCCAGCATTATCCATGTTACTGAATGGGTAGATCAATATGGAAACTTCACCCTCACCCAGTTCCTGACCTGGAATCCATACATTGGTCTCCCAGTAATGGCCAATGGAGACACTGTGTGCTCAGGGTCAGTGGTAAACTTCTCTATATACCTGGCCTCGGCTGATGTGAATTCCTTGCTAGTCCTCCCAGTGGTGTCTATGTACCCTCTTTGGCAACGGCTTCGGCAACTGTCTTCACCACTGCAGCTTCTCCCACCGCCCCTGTCCCATCTGGAACTGACTCGGATTGTGGATTGTACTACACTGTTCAAAGTGGAGATGACTGCGCCTTAATCTGTGAGAAATACGACTTGACATTTGATCAATTCCGCGGTAATTTCAAGCTCTTGCGATATAATTTGCTCAAAGCTAACAGGGCACAGAGATGAATCCTTCTATCAATTCTACATGTGGCAATCTTCTCCTTGGAGATGACTATTGGTACGGCAACTACAGATTCACGAACTCTATCAATTTGCTCCTTGTTACATTTGCTTTTCCCTTGACCAGAATTATACTAACGTTCATCTTGAAGTGTGGCTCCAGTAAATGGGGTTTTTACAGCCACTTCCACGACAGGAACGGCCACTGCTTCCGTGACGTCCTCTTTTGTCACTCCACCAGGCGAGACAGTCACGGGAATAACCCCAGAATGCTACGAATGGTACGTTGTACAGTCTGGCGACGGCTGCGATACAATTGAGTCAGAATACGGCCTCACCGAGGCCGAATTCATTGCGCTTAATACATATATCGACACCGCCTGCGATAATCTTTGGCCGGGATACAGCTACTGTGTCTCGGGAATTCCATTAGCCAGTATCATGAGTTCAACGCAGGTTGTCACGGCGACCTCAACTGCGTCTGGAACCATCACAACGCCGACTCCCACACAGACAGGAATGGTGAGTAGTTGTACAAAGTTTTATGAGGCACAGTCAGGAGATGGATGTTGGGGTATTTCGGTCGATGAGGATATCACTGAAGATGAATTCATTGACTGGAACCCGGCTGTGGGGGTCAACTGTACTGGGTTGTGGCCGGACTATTACTACTGTGTAGCTGTATAAGCGCGTTGCATAAGGAAAGAGGCGGAAATATGCATGGAAATTTACACAATTTGAGCTGATGAAACAACCTTCCAAGCCCGGGAGGTTGTGACCCCTGGAGTTGTGTACATAATTTGGTATTTTTGGAATTATAACATGAATACCGTCGGGTATTGTAAAATGTGTCTTTTATACACTCGGCGGGATTTAGAACCATTGTGGAAGGAGAGTACTCCTCCGATCTTCATAAGTTACTTTCTATTATCAAATTAATCAAGCTTGCAATCAGGTCAGGGATACGATATATTAGATAGCAGGCAATAGCCTTTTGAAGTTGATCTGCTACTGGTAGGCAAACAGTACAGGAATCAGACCCTAATGTGTGGGCAACCCATCTTAAACTAGCAGAATTCGTCGTTGCCACCGACGAGGCCCGTGTTCGGTCTACGCCAAACTCGGGCCTCCGGGCCGTTGGGCTGTCGGGGGCCGGGGCGCGGACCCTGCTTGGAAGTTGGATGATGCACTTTTTTTATTTTTTTTTTCTAATTTGGTTTTTTTCCCCTAATTTTCATCTTTCTTTCCATTTTTTTAATCCTTTCTTTTCTTCCGGTGAGAATAATAACATCATCGTCATCATCATCATCTCGCATTTGGTTCTACGAGGTCAACTGATGCTTCCGTGGTCACCTTACAAGTCATGTGATCTAAGCCTAGTACTGTCCTTTCATCTCCCAACGTTCCATGAATCTCACCATTCGATTCCTTCGCCCCTTACGCAACATTGTATCCAGTCTTTGAGAAAATTCTATTCTGGCCATCGTCCGTCTCTAAAATCGGTGCCTCATTCCTGCGCAGCTTTTCATCTTGCCCCACACGATCGCTGAAATGGATGTGAACTCCCCAATTGCCGCTCCATCTCCCGCTAGTCAATGCATTTTCGCCAAATGTTTAAGATGCTTTTTGATTGCTCAAGTAATCCAAGCGGCCATGGTTGTGGCAATGATTGGACTCCGCTGGTGCTGGAAACGATACCACCAAAGAGAAACCCCGCCCCTATATATACCTCCCCAGGCTCCCCCTTTACAAGAAGATTTGAATGGAGTCCAAGATATTACTACTGAGTTTCATATCTCTCGGCTCCCCTATAGCGAAGATACAATTGTCAATATCATCAGTGATATATACCGTATCTATCTACAGCTAAATTATATTTCGGATTGGGAGGTCACCTGGGCGCTACCAGGAGGTCACAATATTAATCAAACGCTATGCGAGGAACTTCATATTGACCCAGTGGTGATCTCGCTTATGAAGCGACTACCATATTTTCGATTCTCAAGGACAGCCAGCGATGTCGAGTTTATCTACCGTTGGTCAAGAGCCTTCACCTATCTTCAGGACTATGAGATCCGAGGAGGTCGTGATCCGGATCGATTTGAGATTGACGATAACCCCCGACCAGACTTCCTTCTTCCCCACGAGATAGCTTTGACTTGTTCAACTGATGAGGGCTGCCATATAATCCTCGATACAAAAGAAAGTTAGTGTCTTCGTTGTTTTTCCTGATTTTCTGTGGTATCTAGGTAGGGAGCATGTTATTGATATAACTTGCAGACACAATTCGAGTATGGGACTTCCATGACTTACCTCCGGACGATGATTATCGACAGTGTCATCCATACCATGCTCCGACATACCTCGCATCCTATCTTCAACGAGTCAGATCACTTGAGATCCTCCCTAATATGACAAGATATCCTTGTGACTTAGTTACGGAAGAAAATGATATTTACGGCGTGGTAGGTAATTTCTTTTTCTTCTATATACCTTATATAAAGACATGGTCTAATATTAAGTATTAAATGTCTACAGTACCCTCAAATCAAGAAGATTCTCCAGGAGCAATATGGTTGGCCTTATGACTTCCGTGAGGCTGAGTGGAAGGCTGTTTCAAAAGTCACCTGGGCGAGAATTAGTCGTCAAGATCCTACTTATGAAACTGATAGAGAAGACGAGTTTGAACCTGAATGTTTGAAGAACGGTGGATACGATGCAAGTTATGACATTTGGCATGGAAAGTAACAACGGCAAGGCAATATGATCGTGCATGTTACGAGCCAATTCGATTCAGAAGAAAAGAGTGCAATTCCAATCAAATTCTAAGTACGAAGAAGAAAAGGAAAAAGAGAAACTATCTGAGTGCGCGTTCTTCCCTTCTTATACCCTTGCGTTTATCTCGCTTAATTCTCGTTCGTCCTCTTAGGAAGGTGTAAGGGTATAATCGTTCCTGCCTCGTTTGGTAAGTACAAGGACGTGACCGCTCCTACCCCGTTTAGTAAGTACAATCCTTCTTAGATCGTTATATAACTGTGAGACCCCTAGGTATGGAATGCCTAAGGGGAATGCTGTATGTAACGGAGGATCGGGAAATAGAGATAGTGATATACGCAGTGGTATATTAGAACTAATAGCTGCTTCTCTAAAGAAGCAGTATACGAGGATAATATACAGGTTTATGGGTTATATGACCTAAGGAGGCTGTGCAGGCAGTATACATTACTCCTGTCCAGTCCACAGTCCCCCACGCACCCAGGATGGGTGCTCCACACACCATGACAGGTGTCATACTTCAGGCATCAGCCTTCTTAGTACTAGGGTCCTGACATCGAAGGACCCTCCTCGGGGCCATTATATTTAATACTTTTAATTGGGTCCTATATTCTAGTAGGAGTTGGGGTTTTAAGGTTTACAGGTCCGCCGTTTACAATATCAATTTCATACTTACAAAGTGTTCCATTCGCAAGACCAATCGGATACATGCATTATAGACCTTCTATTCGACCAGGTTGAAAGATATGCAACTTGAAGCACCAGTGTTTTCTAGTCACAAGTAGTTTTCAGCCTCCAAGAGACCCAATGGAAACAAAACGATCTTCTAGTATACATCCTAAAGTTGTGGGGTCGGGAACTTTATGCACGACAGAATCCACATGGACCGAGAAGATTGCCCTGAAAAAGATATAATCGATTGCAATGAAAGAAATGATAGTCAGAAGGCATTTAGAAGGCATTTAGAAGGCATCTGGAATCAATCTAGAACATTATCTGCACTAAGGAATGGCGCCATTGGTGCAGAGAAAGGAGGCGCGGGAGTGAATTCAAGCGTTGTGGTTGGCCAGCGCTCAGGCCAGCTGTCGTCCCAACTAGCCATCTCCCTCTGAACACCATTCTTCCTCTTGTCCCTGACCGTGTCAACTCTATCCGCCTTTCAGTCATTGGTATGTATTCTGATATCACTAGTTTAACCTTGTATTAAACTTGATCCATCATTCCCGAAACCTGTTTCACTAATCTGTTCCACGCCTCAGCCCTCAAGATGCGTTTCACGTCGCTCGTCACCCTCCTCCCTGCCCTGGCCATGGCCCAGGAGCAGGTTCCCCTCGCAGACCGCTTGCAGGGGTGGTTCAACCAGGTCAAGTCCTACGTGCCGACAGCAGCCCCCGTTGATTCCCCGGTGATCGAGAAGCTGGCCGAGAAGGTTACCGAGAAGAGTGTCACCCACCTGTCCCTGGACAACTGGAAGTCCGTCCTTACCCCGGGACCCCAGGCAGAGGATTGGCTGATCTACACCACTGGTGGCAATAAGACCTGCTTCGGTCGCTGCGGAACTGCCGATAAGGCATTCAAGGTGAGTTGATATTTTGCCCCCGACGCGTCTTTCGCCAGTCACAAAACTCTAACGTCTTGTTCTCAATTCCCAGGAATCCGTCCTGTTGTTCTCCGCCGATCCCACCTCACCCCACCTCGGATACTTGGACTGTGAGGCCAACCAGGTCCTGTGCGCCGCCTGGTCCGCCAGCGCTCCCTCCGTCCAGTACTACCAGGTCCCCAAGGAGCCATCTGTTGGCGAGGAGCGTGCCCCGACTCCCCTCCGTAACATCTACCTGAACGCCACCACCGTCACCCCCGAGACCATCTACGAGATCCACTCCAAGAAGACCTACGAGAAGGTCCCCCTCTACGAGGGTGCTCTCCACCCCGTTGACGGCTGGGTCGCTAAGTACCAGCTCAACATCCCCATGGGCTACGTTATCTGGGGTCTCGGTGCTGTTCCCAGCTGGCTGTTCATGATTGGTATCAGTTTCTTCAGCCGTACCATGATGTAAGTTGGAATTGATTTGTGCTTGTCATTCGATATCAGTCTAACACCGGAATTAGGAGCCGTCGCGCAGGTCCTACTGGAAACGCCCCTCGTGCTGCAGCCCCCGCTGGTAGCGCAAACTAAATAACCTCTTTTGGTCCCTGTTGGTGTTTTGGGTTGTATATAATCAGTGGTAGTGTATTGTGACGTGTCCAATATACTGCTTGGGTTGGTTTGTGTTCTTTGTTGGGCAGTCATCTGTCGGGAATGGAGCCTCTTCGATCTTAGGCCTTTTTCTAGCTACCTTTTTAATCAACGTATCCTAGCTAGTTATCTAATAGGATTCTGTAACAGATTCACCGAATGTATTGGTAACTGTTAGATGCCAACCTTGCTTTACCTCTGTATCCAGAGCATTATTTAAACAGTATATCCCATTATACAGTACATCCCGAAACCGGTGCAACCACTACACTCTTCCATTGACTTTCTATTCTTCCGGCAGTTGCGTGTGTATTTCCTCGTATTGTAGTAATATCAGGCATATATTTGCTTGTAATCTCAATAAACATTCAGAGATACGAAATGCATAAATTCTTCGACATGTCAATGTCATTGTACCAATTTCTAATGCAATGACAGGGTATCTAACCACCCGCCAAGTCGTAAGCCTGTAAGATATCCCAAATGTGTCGATCTGTCTTCTCTGACATCCAGCTCCTCCATATCACGAAGGACCCGCTCAGTATATTCGCCAGCGCCGCTAAGTTCCATAATAAGTGCAATGGCGCGGTGGATATCGAGAAGCCGGGGGGATGGTAGATCTACCGTGTGATAAGGACTTAGGCTAAGCGATCGTGTGACGGGAAACAAGGGGTCACGTAAGAAAGGACTGCGTTCTGTAGAGTCAATCCTGTACTGATATTGTGTGCCAGTATGTTCGAAATAGATTTTAAATTCGCCGAATAGCCGGTGGTAGTCTAGCGTTAGAGTGAGGGCGTTCATGGGACCATCAATAAGATGGATTATTCCAGGATCGAACATGTCCAAGATCCGAAGAGCACTTTTCTTTGAATCACTCTAGGCATATTAGCACCGTCAAAATACCAATCCTAATAATTAGACATACCAAATCGGTTTCACCAGAAGCTACTGTCGTCAGACAATAAGGGAGAATTTGGGCAACCTCCAAGTATTGAAATTGATCGCTAGACTCATCCTTCAATAGGTTCCCGTCATCATCAGCACAAAATTCCGCATTCTCCTCGAAACACTTTCTGGCTGCTGCTCTATCGAATTTGCGAGACACTATACAGCAGTGGCGGTCGCGTAGAAGACAATTCTGCTGCCACGTTCCGGTCTGTGTTAAGCTCTGCAGCGATAATAACGACATAGGCATTGGCTGTAGTATCTTGACTGATGATACTCTAACTGCAATTGCAAATTAGTATATACTCACTGGAGAACCAGTATATATATATATAAGGGATTAACGAACGGGGAAGGAGGAAATTTTCAACGATATACTCAGCAAACTTTTCTAGGCTCTCGTGAAGCTTGTTTATTTATTCTGGCTCCCATGAAGAAAGTCCCTCGAAGAATACCAAGGCGTGAGTGATATCAAAATCAACGGCATGTCCTTCATCATAAAGCAGGTCCTCATAGATGTATAAGAGGAAGAAAGTCATAAAGGTATCCAGTGATTTAACGTACTCGAGAGTAGCCTGGATAAGTGACGCAGGCCGATAGCCCTTCCGAACGGTCTTCCCAGAGCCATAATGCCGTATAAGCCTGATCATTAGGTTCCTTGCCGACTTGTGCTGTTGTGGTGTTAATGATAAGGGCATTGAGAAGTCTAAAGCCCCCTCTATGGAGGAATGGTGACGGTGAGTCGCCATCGCTGGAACCTTAGGGTGAGGCGAGGAAGTCGAAAGACAAAGGCAGAACTGGCGCAACGAAGTCACACGATTGAGAATATTTATACATTGTATATAGAATATAAAGACATCCAGTCTCTAAGAATGTGTTTCATCTGAAATTTATCAAATTAACGAAGAAAGATGAGCCCAAGGTGACCGCCTGGAGGATCGCCTGGACTTCGGGTCCGTCGGTCACTGGACTTCACGTTTTGTTCCACTGCGCCCTCCAACCACCAACCAACCAACTCAAAATGGCCGCCCCAGTACCGTTAGATCGCATACCCCCCACGACGGCCGCCTATGTGATTGCAACAGCCATCATTGCAGGCGTGACCGGATATTTTATCGGCCAAGGCTCCTCAATCAGCCTCTTCAAAGAAAAGGAAGGGTGGCCAAACAGCTACGATGTGAAGGTCCACAGCCACTCCTCCGACGAGGAGGACGAATCAGACTCTGAAGAAGGAGAGACCGACGATGAAGATGAGGGCAACGGCGAAGAACTGTCGAGCTTCAAGGATAACAGCGAGGAGGTGAAGCTGGTGCTCGTCGTTCGCATGGACCTAGGCATGACCAAAGGTATGTGTTCTTCGCACAACGTTTCAATTATTCCTCACATTTGTGTTGCAAGCGCTTACAATCTCTTCCTTCTAGGCAAAATCGCCGCTCAATGCGGCCACGCTACCCTTGCTTGCTACAAATACTTCCTCGAATACGCACCTGACTCGCCTATCCTCAGAAAATGGGAGCGCGGTGGCCAGGCCAAGATCGCATTGCAGGTCAAGTCCGAGGATGAGCTGCTGGTGATGCAGGCTCAGGCTATTAGCCTTGGACTTTGCGCGCGCGTTATCCAGGATGCTGGGCGCACTCAAATTGCAAGTGGCAGCAAGACCGTGCTAGGAATCTTGGGACCCAGAAGCGTGGTTGACGGGGTGACAGGACACTTGAAGCTGTTGTAAACGAGTACACATTATACATTTGCTCATTTGGCATTTAGATAGGCAATGACGATCATGACCTCGACGACCAGGTTTCCAACGTTACGGTATCCATCGCGTCGAGCATGCGACACACGGTGGTACATCATATGCGGGCATAGTCGACATAATTGTAGCACGTTTCCTAGACACACTAGTCGCGCAAAAACGGGACCTCCTTTGAATCTAGGAGCTTTATAATAAATTACGAGTTCTATATAAGATATGTTGGCAAGTCATGGTTATTCCCTAACCTCAGCGGCCAACGGCCAATCGGCAAAGAGATATGAAATATGACGCCGTCCGACACCAAGCTATCAAGCCGAGCTCACCAGTGGGAGCTCAAGACCCGCGTCACAAGGCGCAGACAATTATTCTGAGATCTGTCGACCGGAAACCGTAAAGGCCATCCACAAAAATGATGGCTCCAAGCTCGTCGAAATGCCCAGCTCTCAACCACCACACAGAAACCAGTCAGACTGGAGTCCATGGACAGGAAATCTAGGCACAGATCCGGTTTTGGTAAAGAAGAAAAAGAGGAAGGAAAAAGCGGAAAGGCTCTTATTTATGTCCCCAAGTGGGGCCGGTAAGATTTTATGGCGCTAGCCTAGATAGGAATAGTGCTATGTGGCCACGTCATGTGACCCGATTGCGGTTATCAGGAATCCAAACGGCGTTGCGCTGATAGCCATTAGTACCTTTCCATCCCTCCTCCACACACCGTCAAAATGGCGGACGCTCTATCCATCGAGCAAAACAACAAGATTCGAGTGGCTCTTGGCCTCAAGCCACTCCCAGTTCCTGGCGCCGGCCCTGAATTCAGAGAAGACGGCGACAGCGAGTCCGGCGAGGAAGAAGACCCAGCCAGCACTCTCGAGTCGCGACAGGCGGAAAGTTATGAAAACTGGAAGAAGATCCAGGACACCGCCGAAGCGAAACGGAAACGAGATGAGAAGAATGCCGCCATCAAGCGGGCGCGTGACATTGCCCAACGGAATATACAGCTCCAAGGATCGACACTAGGCGAGGCGAATGGCGACGAACTCGATACCAAAGCCTGGCTGTCACAATCCAAAAAGCGCCAGAAGAAAATCGAGAAAGAACGCGCCCAGAGACTTGCCGAGGAACTCGAAGAGCGGGAGCGCGTTGCAGAAGCCGAGTACACTGCAGCGGATTTGGCTGGTATCAAGGTCGGACACTCTGCGGGTGCTTTCGATGGTGGTGAAGATCACATCCTGACGCTTAAGGACGCCGCGGTGGATGATGAGGAAGAGGACGATGAGCTCCAAAACCTCGATTTGGTCGAGAAGGAAAGGACCGAAGAGAGGCTGGAGCTTAAGAAGAAAAAGCCTGTCTACGATCCCACGGCGGAGAACCAGGGTCTCCTTTCACAATACGACGAGGAGATCGATGGCAAAAAGCGAAAGAGATTTACACTCGACGCCCAAGGTTCAACCGAAGAACGCGAAGCAAAGCGACAGGAAGTTTCCAACCAGTTGCGGAAGAACATTATCAGCCTCGACTTTGAACCGGAAATGCCATCATCCGATTACATGGACATCAGCGAAGTCAAAATCAAGAAGCCTAAGAAGAAGAAGGCCAAAGCTACAAAACAGAGGACTTTGATAGACGAGGATGACGTTGCTCCGGTTGCGGATTCGACCGATACACAAGGATCTTCAGCTATGGATATTGATTCGAAGGGTGGAGTCCTAGTTTCTGCTCCCCGCAAGCCCATCAACGAGGATGTTTCTTTCGTGGATGACGATGACCTTCAAGCCTCTCTTGCGTTGCAACGACGAGCAGCTTTCAAGAAGCGCAAGAAGATCAGCCCTGAGGAGCTTGCTAAGCAGCTTCGAGAAGAGGAGACTCAGACCCCGATGGATATTGAAAATTCGGATAACGAGGGCGAGGGGCCTGGCCTTGTTATCGACGAAACCTCGGAATTTGTGGCAAATCTACACAAGCCTACACTTCTGGAGCAAGAAGAAAAACACGCTACAACCGCGGCCAAAGAGCGCGAAAGTTCCAACGCGGAGCCCGAGGGTGAGGGCGTCGAGATCGATATGGACCGTTACGGCGATATTGAAGACGAAGAGGAACTTGCTGCGCGCATCAAGCGCGATGAAGTATCTGCGGCCCAGCCACCACAACTTACCGGCACCGGCCTAGAAGAGGAATCAACTCTAGACCATGGTCTTGCTGCTACTCTATCAATGTTGAAATCGCGCGGTCTCGTCAAAGACAACGACAGCACCAGCCAAAACGCTCTCATGCGTGATCGCCAGCGTTTCTTGGCCGACAAGTCGAACCGCGAGTCCGAAATCGAGCGACGCGCCCGACAGCAGCGTGAGCGGGACCGTACCTCTGGTAAGCTTGATCGCATGTCAGCCCGCGAGCGCGAGGAGCACGCGCGCTGGGAGAACAAGCATCGTGACCAGCAGGAAGCACGTCATATCGCCGAGGTGTTCAACCGCGAATACAAGCCCGACGTGCAACTGCGATATGTAGATGAGTTCGGTCGCAACATGAACCAGAAGGAAGCATTCAAGCAACTTAGTCACCAGTTCCACGGCAAGGGCAGTGGAAAGATGAAGACCGAGAAGCGCCTCAAGAAGATCGACGAAGAGAAGAAGCGCGAGTCTATGAGCACGCTGGACAGCAGCCAGAACACCGGCATGAACACTGCTGTGGGCACTGCTGCGCGCAAGAATCGCCAGGCTGGGGTTCGCCTGGGCTGATGCTTTTTCTTTCTTCCCAATAGCCAAATACCAATTTACGATATCCAAAGTCTATCCCAAAAGTCCTTCCGAAGCTCCGTAGATCCGTAGATATATTTAGATAGTTATATTTAGGCCCGATCAGTTAGACGATCAGGCAACGTTGCTGCAGGGAGAAGACGGATGTCACCAAGTTCAATCTTATGTATCCGACTTCGTACATATGGGATTGACATACAGGTATTTAACCCAGTTGTCCCTATACAACCTTAGAAATAATCAAAGTGGTCGGAATGTCAGACACGAGGAAAAATGGAGAATTCCTTCTCCAACTGTGAGGGGAAAAACGGTGTAGATCCAGACAGTTCACCGGAGATTCGACTTGCCGACAACTGTAGAAATGGGCTGATGTTGCTATACATGCGCGAATGGATATATATAAGGAACGCACGAAGGAATCCAGCCAATGAATCATATCCAAAATCCTAGATATCATTACAATTCCCTCATTTCCAGCAACTAAACCATAGAGAACAACAAATATTTAGCCGGAGGATTGCTGCAAATTCCGATTGGTTGTACCTGGTACCTCCACCCAGGCGGAGATGCATACCAACTCGCAGGTACCCGATACCGCTATCACATGAGTCAGGGCAAAAACATCGGGACTACGTCTCCGGTCCTTTATATTCCTTCGCTCTCCCGATCCTTCCCTTCTTCCTTCCAATCCCAAATCCAGGAGGTCCAGGTCTTGCCCTTTCGATTTTCTTCGTCTACTCTGCCATT